TGTTGCTACCTAAGTGGACAGTTTGATTTCACAGAAGTGTGATTGCCCTGGAGTTACATTGTGTTGTTTAAGTGTTCCCTTTATTATTTTTTGAGCAGTGTATTTCTGACTGGTCCACTGGTTAAATGCAATCTTTTGCTGAGAATATATATTCCCATTGGCCTCAATAAGTCTTCCTTTTGTGTAAATCATGCTAGGATTGCAGTGCAATATCTTTCTAGAAGTGTTTTAATACCACCATAATGCCCTTGGTTCCACAGATTTAGAGGTTCTGGAATTTATTCTTAATTTTCCTCCCCAAACTATTTTGTTGTAATATCTTTCTTTCTTTTTCTTTTCTTTTCAAGATATACTCATCTTTTGTTCCTTTCACTAAAACCCTGGCTGCAATTTCATATTTTTATTAGACAGCTGCAGCTTCTGCTTTGTACAATTTTTCCTTGTTTTCTCTTTCAAATGCCTGCCTCTCTTCCAACCTCCATGATTATGTATATACCATAATAATGGAATAACTGTAATTTTTCATGCTGACTCTGCCCATCCCCTAGGCATTTACATTTCAACTATGTTCAAGCTCTTTTGAAGTGCATCATCCTTTTACTTTGTATGCATCATCACCCACAGTTAGTGACTGTTCCTTTCTGTGCTGTGAAGGAATTGTCAAATCTTGGGTTGTAAGGAAAAAAAAAAACCTCTTCTGCAACTCCTTCCCACCCACCAATTTCCAGGAGGGAAAGATCAATATACATAATAGATTGATATATGAACCACTCCAGTGTCTCTACAAATATCTTTCCAATCCTGGCTTAGCATAATACAAAGTCACAAATTGTTAAACCATGCTTATGAATGCACTAGGTAAATCATGGTCTACAAACCATAAAAACAAATTTACGCATGCAACACAAATAGGAAATGTGTTAAAGTCAATTTTTGCAATATGCATTTGATAATATTCTCTTCTCCTGTAATCATTTTTATATACTGTGTGATTTGCCAGTGACATTGACACCATCCTCTGTGCTTTTACAACCCACCCATCTTTCTTGAAGCTATTGCTTATGTCAGGAGCAATCTCAATTTCTTTGTTTTCCTTTAGCACCCCAAATTCATTTATTAATTAAAGGTGCTAATGAATTGTTAAAGCCTTGCTTGATCCTTCATATGATCCCCTTCAGCTTAATTTAGTATAAATGTCAACTTCCTTCCTTGCCTTTCTTTTATTGGGCATCTAATGGAAACAGTAAAGGCATCATTGCTCGATGTTTTGACAACAATCTGACACATTGGTTTAATATTAAACAATAATGTCTAACAGTCTATCAACTTTATATGGTGACTAATCCAATACACTATCAAGAGGCCATATTTATATTAAAAACTATTGTGCATATTTCCTGAATATTGAATATTGTACATATTCAAGTACACATGCGTGCACTGCGCATGTTCATGTGGTGGATGCCAGGCCCTGTTGCACCGTACAGGTTGCAACAGGATCCGGAACCCACCACTGTTTGGAATGCAGTTTTCTTGAGCTTTTGCTGTCACTTGCCATCTTCAGGCTGGTGTTTTTGGCTTAAAGCGTGGTCGGAGCTGCCGAAAACACCAGCCTGAAGATGGTGAGTGAGACCTCGCCGAAACGTTGCCAAGACAATCTCAATCTTACACGGGAAAAGACCCGAATACAACAGACCAGCATATAGAGCCGAGGTGGCACAGTGGTTAGGTTGCAGTACTGCAGGCCACTTCAGCTGACTGTTATCTGCAGTTCAGCGGTTCTAATCTCACCGGCTCAAGGTTGACTCAGCCTTCCATCCTTCCGAGGTAGGTAAAATGAGGACCTGGATTGTTGGGGCCAAAAGCCGAACCCGGGAAACCGCTTAGAGAGGGCTGAAAGCCCTATGAAGCGGTATATAAGTCTAACTGCTATTGCTATTGCTATACATACATACACACACACACACACACACACACACAAACACATATACACACACACACACAGCTAAATCCAGTATTTCTCTGGAGTTTTGATCCGACAGTCATACAGCTAACATTATTAGAGTTTATATAAACCAGACTTACATTGAGAAGTGGCAGATACGTAAGCACATGCATAGTCTCGAGTTTTATATATGCTAGGAACACTGGCGTGACAGCATCTGGAGTGGTTTCAGCTGCCAAGTCATACCATCTTCTAGCTAAATGTATATCCTAAACATTAAACAAAAATAATGTCTAAAAATAGCAAATTGCTTTGGTAAAATACAGCAACTGGAAACTGCAACTAATCTTAGTCAGGTGTACTTCTATATAGACATATGCATGTATTTTCTAGAAAGAACATAATTGTAGAGCTTTTAAAGCTCATTTTGTTTGAGTGTCCTGAAGAGACAGTATTGGATATGAACCAAAGACCTTAAGATGTTTCATGTTAAAAAACATCAGACAGCAGACAGTTCTAGTTATGAATCATTACTTACTTGGATTCTATCATTATTTTCTAGACATGGTTTAGATCAGTGGTTCCCAACGTGGGGCCCAGGCCCCACAGGGGGGGGGCAAACTGATTTTTAATGGGGGCAATTTAAACCTTGTTTAAACCATGTTAATGGCCTTTTAGGCTTCCTCTGTGTGAGTTGAGTTTACTTTTTGAATAAACTAAGAATTATATGTCAAGGGGGGGGGGTGTATCAGAATTTTAGAGATGCTTAGGTGGGGAATGGCCAAGAAAAGGTTGGGAACCACTGGTTTAAATAAATCAAGAGGCAATGCCCTACAACTGAGGTTCTCATTTGTGTGGTGGCTTTTCCATTGCTATAACAATCTCAGGACACAAAATAGAGATTCCTGTCTGGGAGGGGAAAAAATGTTGCTACACAGAATGAAACACTATACTCGGGCAATACATTTTAGGCATCATGAAAAAGCCTTAAATTGTCAGTCACTCCACTGTAGTGCCAGGAATGGGCTAAAATAACTTGTCCAAGTCTGGATATGAGGCTTATTCACTTGTGGAATAGGCTGCAAAATGTTTTAGGCTGGTCTTAAGCCTTTTCTCAATTAGCAGTCTTCTAAAATACTGCACACATTGGTCTACAGTTTCCATAATTCCCAGATAAAATGGCCAAATGTCACTAGCTGAAAATGATGAAGATCAGAGTTCAATACATTAGTGGGAGAAGGATTTTTCTGAATTTTCATTTCTCCATGACAAAATAAAACTAATTTTCCCTCTACAATCTACTAATTTGTATTCTATAACTAAACTAGCACATGTCATGGTACCCTTATTTCTTAATGCTTTATATTTTCTATAGTCAACAAGTAATCGATAACATTTTAACTTACAAAAATAGCTAGTTGGTTTTCAACTGATTAAAGCTCATGACATTGCATTAGAAATAGTTTTGTTTTGCATTTAACTAGAATATTTATAATAAATATTAACATTGGTGTTTGAAACAGCCTCAGGGGTAGATTACTTTACCTGAGGAACCCCTAAACCATGCTCATGCATGTATGCCAGATTGAACATAGCTTCAGCACTGTGTTGATTTGCCGCAAGAGTATAATAAGTTACTGCTGAAACATAATCTTTTGTTGTTCCAAAGCCATAGAAGTAATAATCTCCAATTTTAACTCTGGCAAATGCGTTGCCTGGAAAACAAATACATGGAAGGGATAAAGATGATGATGATGATGATGGTGATGGTGATGATGATGATAATGATGATGATTTTATTTTCTATCTGTACATTGTCTATTGTCTTGAAATGATGACAATAAACCTTTCAGAATCAATTTTTCCACTGCCTTTTGAAGTATCTTGGGAAAATGCAAACACATGTCCCACATGGGTAAGGTGACCAGACGTCCCGATTTTGGTGGGACAGTCACGATTTATAACAATTTGTCTCGTGTCCCAGGGCGTTTTTAAAAAGTCCTGATTTTCTGGCTTCATGTTGAAAGCCCAGTGGATTTGCTTAAGAAATCCTAACCGGGGCAAGACAAAAGACACCCTGTCTAAACCCTCTTTCTGTCTCAGTACTTTCATTGAAGATATTAAAACATTAAAGCAACAAAACGGACCTCCCCCGCCCTTTTACCTCATTTTATAAGAAAAAATGACCCAGTACCATAGAGCTCCAGGAAATACTTGGCTAGAGAAGTCGCGAGTGTTCCTTCTTGGATTTTCCGGAGGGGAGGGGCATGGAGGTTGGAGGTTGGCTCGTGTGGGAAAAATGGTGGCAAAGTTTCTTTGAAAAATACTTCCCTGACTAATTTCACCATTTTAATTTGCTCAGTTCTTTGTATTAACATCTACATCATTCTGGATTGACTTGGAATGCAAGCCTGCTGGTAAGTGAGCTGGGTTTTTTCTTTTATTTTTTTAATGTATTTTAAAATAATATTTTATTTATTGTGCATAGGATTTTTTAAAATAGTTTTATTCTGTGTGGATTCTTTTTTTAAATTGTCTTAGACTATTTAAAAAAAGATTCTATCCAAAATACAAAATACCAGCTGCAGTTATTCACTTAAGAACTGTGGCAAGAAAGGTGGTATAGTGACCAAAGTTACAATGGCATTGAAAAAAGTGACTGATGACCATTTTTCACACTTAGCGACCATTTTCACACTTAGCGACCGTTGCAGCATCCTCATGGTCACGCGATCAAAATTTTGATGTTTGGCAACAGATTCATATTTATGATGGTTTCAGTGTCCTGGGGTCATGTAATTGCTTTTTGTGACCTTTTGACAAAGTCAAATGGGGAAACCAGATTCACTTATGTTACTAACTTATCAGCTGCAGTTACTCACTTAAGAACTGTGGCAAGAAAGGTGGTATAATGGGTTTAGTGACCAAAGTTACAATGGCATTGAAAAAAGTGACTGATGACCATTTTTCACACTTAGCGACCATTTTCACACTTAGCGACCGTTGCAGCATCCTCATGGTCACGTGATCAAAATTTTGATGTTTGGCAACAGTTACAATTTATATTTGTAAATTGTAGTTATGTTGAAATTAAAAAAATTACAATTCTATTTTTGCGTTATATGAAGCCCCCCCCCCCCGGTCAAAGGTGTCCCTCTTTACCAATCTGAAAATCTGGTCACCTTACACATGGGTGTTTTAAATTATTTATATTCTACCATTTGATCTATAGGGATTTGAAGACAGCTAAAGACAATAAAATACATAAAACAAACACTTGAAATACAAAATTGCGAATATCTCCATAATTATCCTTAAGAGTGCAAGACAAAAAGTGGGGCTGAATGTATTTCCTGACTATAAGTGTATTTCACAGTTTGGAAGCAATTCAAGAAGTGGATCTCTTCCCTGCGCCAACAAGGAGACCTCCGAATCAGAAGGTGAGAATCTGTTTAAGGTTGCCAGCTGTTCTTTATCATCTTTATGGTTTCTTATCAAGATGGGCCTTCGGATAGGGAGTAAAACTGACTTATTTTCTCTACCTGCATAAAATCCAATTCCATTTAAATCCATAAAATCCTCAAACATCTTATTTGATTTCTGAAAATGTTAGGCTTTCAAAGCAAACTTAGGGCAAAGTGATTAAATTATATTTATGTTTTAAACCTTCAACAGAATTTGTCATTACATGAAAAATAATCTATTTCATAAAGTACAACTATTGTAATCTATTATGATAGTTTTGATCAGTAATTGGTAGAATTCAACTCATTTATTATGCATCTTTTACCACTTGCAATTCACAGAATCTACATTGAGGGGAGAGGGGATTTTATCTATTTTAGAAAGAGAAATGATTCAATTATTTTCATCAAGCATTGCTCTCTTTTATAATTAAACTCTAAAGCAATGTTATTAATATAAAACCTATTATGCAGAGGACATTGGTAAAATATTCTAGTCCATTGGGGCGGGGGGTGAGATTTGACTCCCTCTTGCTCTCTCTGGTAATAGAAATGTAACAGGTTCCTTACTATGAGTTGGACATTTCTTGATTACATGGAAATAACCATGAAATCTCTTGGCAATAATATGGAAGTAGTTTACCATCTCTTTCTTCCAAGCAGGCTGGCATAAATTAAATCTAAGACAGTGTGGCAGACTGTTAGTCTGCTTAACTTCTATAAAATGTAGTCACCATCAGGGCACTGAAAAGGAAGAGATATACTATAGTTGCTGTGCTTGAGCGGGAATTAAAGGCACATAGCTAAATCTTCCATAAATTTATTTCTGTGCTCTAAACATTCACAAAGAAAGTTTAAGAGGCAGGTCAAGGAACTGAATAAATAACTTTCTTGAACAAACAAAACATTCTTTTTTTTCTGATAGAATGAAATGACTTGCATGATTGAAATAACAATAAAGTAAAGCAATTTAAAGCTTTTAAGACTATCTTCTCAGTACTAAAAATAAAATGGGAGGCAATAAGAAAGTCATTAAATGAAAATTGACTGGTACTGTGTTTTTTTTTCTCCCTGAACTGATTTCAACTGTTGGTTAAAATCGTTATAAACACGAAAATAGGCCAAACAAAAGCAAGGAAGAAGGAACAAACCCCAAAACAGGCATATGGGGTTTTTTATATTGTCTTCTTTTTCTTCTTGCTGTATTTGTTTTCATTTAATTTTTATCTGTAAGCAGCCTAGACTATTACAGAGTTGGGCAGACTCAACACTGAAACAAACAAATAAAAATATATGAATTTTAACATAAAATGAGTGTCCGAGAAAATGCCATCTTAATAATAAGTTGTCTGCATATCTGTATCCCAAATACTGCATGTTTCTTTGCGATGGGCTTAACATAAGAGTGCAAAAGATAAATAGGGGACTAAAATCTAAAACATAAAAAGAATGGTTGCTGGAATTGGATATGTCTAGTTTGATGAATAAAAGGACTAGGGGTGACACGATAGCAGTGTTCCAATATCTAAGGGACTGCTACAAAGAATAGTCAAGCTATTCTCAAAAACACCTCAAGACAAGACAAGAAGCAATGGATGGAAATTAATCAAGAAGAGAAGCAACCTAGAACTAGTGAGGAATTTCCTTAGCTAGATAGAAAGGCATATTGTACAAGAGAAAGTCTATAATTAATCAGTGGAACAACTTGCCTCCAGAAACTGTGAGTGTTCACTGGAGGTTTTTAAGAAGAAATTGAGCAGCAATTTGTCTGAAATGGTATAGGGTTTCCTGCCTGAGCAGGGGTTGGACTAGAAGACCGCCACGGTCCCTTCCAATTCTGTTATTCTGTATTCTGAAATCATTTCTTGCTACTTAGCTTTAAAAGCACAAAGAGAGGAAATTATGTTAATAAAAGACTATTGTTTTTAACTCTGTTCATACCTTGACTTGCAGCTTGCTTCAATAAGAGAAGAGCCAATGGATACACTTGATTTCTATGTAGAAGTATAACTTTTTCTGTAACAAAATTGTGGCATCACATATCTTAAGGCAGTCCATCTATTGCAGAATGCAAGAATGAGCATAATAGGATTTTCCCTTACCAGATTCCATGATGTAAGCTGAATTAATCTGAGCTTCTTCATAGCCCATTTCAGCTAGATAGGCATATTGGACTAGAGATGAGTCTAAATTACCAGTCTGGTAAGCATAAAATGCTGTCCGGAACATTTCTGACCATCCTCCTAGCTCACATACAGTTTTATAAAGCTGAGGAGCACAAAGAAAGCTATTTAAAAAAAACCCAGTGAATAATGTTTGGAGTATCTGGTCTCTCCTGTCTTGATTAACAAATCTCGTGTTTATTTCCTACTTTTCTTGCAGGGACCTTGAGATTGAATAAATGGTATACACCCCATTTTGCAAACGGTTACACTGAAAAAAAGAGTGATGATCTATTGGAAGTGATACACTGGAAGGGTAGATTTGAGTGAAGGTGTCTCTGTGTCAGCCCTTCAAGGTAGTTCAGACAAGAAGCACCAACCATGAATATAGGACAGTGATGGCAAACCTTTTCGAATGCTGAAAAGGGAGTGCACTCGCGCACGCTCACGGGGGCACAAGCCAGAAGAGGAGCTGCCCATGGGGCATGAGCATGACAGAAAATGAACTTCCGGTTTCCAGTGCATGCATCTGCGCCAGCCAGCTAGTCTTCTGTTACTTGCGCATGATGATCAGCTGGTCGGTGTGAATGCTCACAACGGAAAACTGAAGACCAGCTCTTCCAGTTTCTGGCACTGCCGTATGCATGAATGCCAGCTGATTGTGGAATGTGTATGCGCGCCAGAACACAGAAGAGTAATGGGCACCGCCACATGTGCTAGGTGACATGGCTCCGCAGGCCATAGGTTCACCATCATGGGTATAGGATTTTAACATTACCTTTATTGTAAGGTTGCAGTAACAGAATTTTGCAGGTCTGAAAGCACCCCTCCTCTCCCTCACATTTACTCTGTCAAAAACTAGGGAGGGTCCCTTCTGAGATGCTTTCTCCATCCCCATCTCTACTTCAGATTCAGATTTTGTTCATCAGATCATTGTCTAGCAGAGGTTCTCCCAAGTTAATTTGAACATACTATTACATTCTGATCCAAGATCAACTCTCTGATCACTACACAGCACTGAAAAACTCAAGTTGAAAAAGGCTTGCTTATGATACCAAGCTGTGGTGGTGCAGGGGTTAGAGTGCAGTGTTGCAGGCTAATTCTGCTGACTACCAGCAGTTCAATTCTCACCAGCTCAAGGTTGGCTCAGCCTTCCATCCTTCCAAGGTTGGTAAAATGAGGACCCAGATTATTGGGGGCAAAATACTGACTCTGTAAACAGGAGCTGCGAAGCACTATGAAGCAGTGTATGTCTAAGTGCTATTGCTATACGTAGTTTTATATTAGCTACTTTAAAAAAAACCTAAAATATTATGTGATATAGCATTAATAAATTATGACTATCGCAGATCAATGGAAATTAAATACAACTAAACCCCCATATCCAAACAATACATAAGTATACAACTCAAGCAGAATGACACCATAGTGGCTTTAAAAATGAAGAGTCATCTTCCTGGTAGTGAGTGAACAACCATTACCTGTTCTCAAGAGAGGGGAAAAAATGTCACTGCATAAACTGAATGTTATTTTTTTAAAACACACACCTAAAAGTACAGCCAGTAGCTTTTCTCTCAAGTAATATTTCAATCCAATAGTAGAGCCTTCCCACCCACACCCCGCCATGAGAATTATGGAGAAGATAAAGGAAGCAATTTAAAAATAGATGTCCCTTCCTATAGTACACCTATAAAGGGAATTTGTATAAGTTGGAAGTCACCTAATGAGGCTTATTTCCCAATGCAGATGCACAGATACAGAGTGTAAATATGTTTCCCCTGATTGCTGTAGTGTTTAGTGTTCCTGTTCTTGAACATTGCATTAGACACCGTAGAACAATTCAAAGCAGAACATTTGAGGCTAAATTTGGAAGAAAGGATTCTCCCTACATCCCAAAGCATCTTCCAGCTATTTGGATCTTCTTACAATAATCTGATTTTTTGTATGGTGTTTATTCAAACAGTTGTATGTGGGTAAGATCAGTTCCCCCCTCCTCCCAATAACAACTGATTAGAGGACAGTAAGAGGATTATATGATAACAACTATTGATTCAATTACCTGTATAGACATTATGGTAAACTTAAGCAGGTGGTTGATGCTACTTACTTCAACTGCATTTTGACAGGATTTAAACACTCCCATTCCTTCACCATACATCTGAGCCAAATAGTACACTGCAAGGAGATGGCCATTTTCAAATGCCAAGTAAAAATATTTGAAGGCAAGTTTAAAATCTCTCCTCACTCCTAAACCACCTGAAACAAAATTTAATTTGGGAGTTTTGGATTTTCAATAGGAGAGAGGGAGGGTGGGAGGGAGGGAAGAATTTAGGATTTACCATAATACATGACTCCTAGCTGAAATTGGGCATTGTCATATCCTTTCTCCGCTGCTTTTTGAAAATACTGAAAAGCTTCTGTGTAATTCTGAAAAGTAAATAAACTTTGATGAGTCACAGTAGAGTTCTAATTCTTCTCAAGTTTTGTATTGCTCTATCAATGCCTCAACAACTATTTAATGCTAAATTATTAGAAAACGGAGTATAACAGGATCCAGTCTTATATTCAAAGTCTGCAGATGTTGACTGTTTTTGAACTCTTATGAGATGTTACCCTACATTAGATTGAACTTTTTTCCATGATTTTACTCATTAATATGAAGGATATGAAAGAGGCCTAATGAAATTAAGACTTACCAGTGGGACACCTTTACCTTTTAAATAAAGGATACCAAGGCCCCAGAGTCCAACAGAATTACCCTAAATAATAGGAGAGATAGCCTCATTTAGACATAGGATAATCTTCATCAACAAAATTGACAGAAGTACTAAGTGATTGTTCATAGTTCTACCTTCCACAATATTTGCCTTGATGAATATGAGCTGGAACCTCCCTAGAGCTCCTTTGTGAAGTGGCAGTAATGTCCAAAGTACAAACTCTATTCAGAAGGTCTATGACTAAGACCACAGTGCAATAAAGAGGTAGCCAACCATCTTGAGTGACAAGATACAAAGAATCTGCTCCTTTCCTATATGCATGCAATGTAATAAAGCACATGCATATGTAAAAGTGGCAGAGTTTGCTCTAGGATGTCACAACGCTCGTTTTATTGTTTGTCTCCACTTGCCTCTGAGGTAGTACCTATGGTGTAACATTTGCTATGTTTATTATAACAGGAAGCACATACTAATAACTGCAGGAGAAACAAGACGAATTGAAAAGGCCCTTAAAAAAACAAAGTGCCATGTCCTGTCCATTTTCCTAACCTCCTCCAGAAAAAAAAAGAATCTGCAATGACAAGGGTGTCTCACAACAAAGTCTTCGGTCACTTAAAAAGCAAAATTGATTGATATTTTCTAATTTCTCAACTTTTACATTGATCCAATTCCTTTAGCTACCTGTGATCTTCTTAAGACCATGTTTCCTTCTGACACTAAACTTTATTCTGTTTCATACAAATTCCTCCGTATGGGTTTTCAATTAATTTTTGCCCATCATAAGTTAAATAAACTATTTTCCTTTTACATTTCTGGCCCAGTGGCATCAGATTTAATCTCAGTATTATTTTTATCCATATATATTATATATGTCCAATAGGATTATTGGTATGGTATTATATAAGTTCACCTGGGTGCTAGTAGTGTCATTGTAGAAGTGCTACCATCACATACACTTTCATATTTCTCCTTCTTTCTCTGCAAGACTCCCTAGCTAAATTAAATGAGCATTTTTGCAAGTTCCTGGAAATCCATGCAGTCCAAGCAATTTTTTAAAAAAAATTAGTACCTTACCTTATCTGCTGCCATGGTGAAGAACTTCAAAGCCGTAATATTACTCTGAGTCACAACAGTACTTCCTTTTAAATACATCTGCATATATTAAAAGAACACAATTTAGCTGATGGATATATAATACCTTAGCAGAAATTCCCAAAGAAGCTATTATGCCCTGTTCCTTCCCACCCTCCCCCAATTTTCTGTATTTTGTAGCTGACCTAGTTTTATTTATAGGAAGGAATAGAAAATAATATGAGCCCAAACTCATCTCAGGAAACAAAATATGTACCTTTCCAATGAACGCCATCCCATATGCATTCCCTGCATTTGCTGCTTTTAGGAAGTAGTACAAAGCTTTCTGATGAAAAACAGCAAGGAAAAGTTAGCATTTCTATAACAATGTTCTTTCTAATTTGAGCCACATCCATCATCGGACGTTGGTGATCATGTTGGCAATCCTATTTTTGGCAACAGCCTCATGAAAAAGTGCAGCCAATTTTTGTCCAAACTAGTCTCTTAGGTTTTGAAGTATACTTTCATATACAAAGAGAGAGAAAAATGGGGAAAATGAGAAATTAAAAGTAAAAATTAAAAAAAAAATTCTTGGAAACAATGTATCTTCTGTGGCAGTAGTTTCTGATTGAAATGGATTTGAATAGAAGTAGTTTTTAATTATTTATCAAAAAGTACTGCAATCCCACAGTGATTCTAAAACTGACAATAATGCAATAGTTTCATATGCTGCTAATGCACCTAGGTCTGTTTGTGAAATTAAGAAAGTTGGGGTTTGGAGTTGTTGTTTTTTCCCCTCTCCCAATTTTAGGAAATCACGTTTCCTTTTGAAAAATACAACTTGAAACACGATAGGAAAATAAAAGCTCAATGTTTCCTACTGTAGTATTTAAATCTGAGGTGGGATCCAAAAGAGAAGCCAAGGTTTATTCTTCTCAGATAATGCTGATGAAATTCCCACATTGCCATCCTTTCTCATGTTGCTATTACTTTGTTTGAAAAAAAATGTGGCATCAACCTTTTCAAATGCATTTGGTACATACAAGAATTTAAAAAGGAAACAGAACCTTAAAAGAATCTGTATACATACTTGCTGCATTCCAACTACCACCCATTTAAAATGTTTAGCCAGGATAGCCTTTAGATGGGAATTCTTGGAGTTTTAATCTAACATTAGGATATTGGGATTTAAAAAGGATGGTTTTAAACATACTGAAAATTGAGAATGTGCACATTAATGAATGTTAATGGAACAGCATTCATCCCTGAAATCTGAATATACATACAGCATGATCTTTTTCTAGTCCTCTTCTTCCCACAAGATGCAGCTGTCCAAGATATATCTGGGGAAAATGAATTGTTGGTATGCAAAGTGAATGAATTATACATAATGGCCAAAGAATAAGACCTTGGAGAACTATATGGAAATGTGGAATCTGTATAGCAATTATAGCCTGCAATTATACTAAGTCATCTCTTCATGGGTCATTATCTTGTAAAGTTTGATGGGCTTTATATAGTCCAATGACATTATGAGCTACATCAATAGAAATGCTTACACCAGAAAAAAAATATCTATAATGGACAGATCACAGAAAGGATCAGGTTAAATATGATCCACAAAGATGCAAATATCACTTCAGACAAGACAACCAAACAGATATTTACAATCAGGATATGATTCTGGAATAAATGGAGTAGCCATCATAACTAGCATATGAGTGCTAAAAACAATGTCTAGATACAAGCCTTAGTATTATTGACAGAGGTAACAGTGCAATGACAAATATTGACAAGTAGTAGCAGTGATAGTGAATCTCCTTGAAATATTCCTCTCTGATATTAATCTCTCCCAGTCTCTCACGATTGACCTGCAACTTGTAGGTCCGTGCAATCTTCTTGCAGCAATTATCTAGGTGATGTCTGTTTCTTCAGCTTCTTTGCATAGTCTGCACTTTCTGTCTTCTTAATTCTGCCTTGTATAAATTATTATTATTATTATTTGTTGTTGATCTATCTATCTATCCATCCATCCATCCATCCTCTATCTATCTATCTATCTATCTATCTATCTATCTATCTATCTATCTATCTATCTATCTATCTATCTAAGTATCA